AACTACAGATATAAACAATTATTTAGGTAAAGTTAACTTTCCTAAATTAACAGAAGATCAGGAAAAAGAGATTAATGGCTTAATTACTAAAGAAGAAATTGTTACAGCTATTAAACAATTGAAATTGGGCAAAGCGCCGGGTACGGATGGGTTGACATCTATCTATTACAAAACTTTAGTAGAAGAGATGACTCAACCATTGTGTGAATTGTTTAATAACTTATTACAGGGTTTAGAGATCCCTCCATCTTGGCGTAATGCATTTATATCATTGATTCCAAAAGATAATCAGGATCTTACATTGCCTAAAAATTACAGGCCTATATCTCTTTTAAACGTGGATTATAAAATCTTTGCAAAAATTTTAGCTAATAGGTTTATGGGGATCTTGCAGCAGTTTATACATAAGGATCAATCGGGTTTTATAACTGGAAGGTATATGAAAAATAATGTTAGACAAATTATTAACTTATTAGAGTATCTAGAAAAGAATAACCAAGTCTCTGCAGGCCTGATATTTTTGGATGCTGAAAAAGCCTTTGACCAAGTGAATTGGCAGTTTATGTTATGTTTAATTAAGGAGATGAATTTTGGACAAAATATATTACAAGTATTATCTAATATATATCAAAAACAGACTGCTCAACTTATTGTAAATGGGGGTTTGTCAGAGGCTTTTGTAATAGAAAAAGGAACAAGACAGGGATGCCCGTTATCTCCGTTATTGTTTGTTTTAACATTGGAAATTTTGTTGATTAAAATTCGGGAGTCTCAAGAAATAAAAGGAATAGAAATTAATAAAAAAGAATATAAATTAAGAGCCTTTGCAGATGACTTGGTTGTTACTCTGTCTCAACCTACCTGTTCGGTGGTAAAATTATTACAATTGATTCAACAATATGGATGTGTTTCTGGTTTTAAAATTAATAATAATAAGACCAAAATATTAGCTAAAAATATGACTAATGGTGATAAACAGGTTTTAGTTAACTTAACAGATTTTGAAATTGTTGATAAGGTAAAATATTTGGGGGTCACATTATCTGCTTCTAATGCAAAACTGTATAAAAATAATTATGAAAAGCTGTGGATGGAGGTACAGAAGGATTTAAAAAACTGGAACAATCTACAGTTATCCCTTATGGGTAGAATTGCAGTTATCAAAATGAATGTCCTGCCAAAGTTTATTTTTTTGTTTCAAATGTTACCTATTTTAAAGAATGAACGTAATTTAGATGAATGGCAAAAAGGTATTAATAAATTTGTTTGGGCAGGGAAAAAACCAAGGGTGAAACTTAAAATAATGCAAGATTTTCGTGAGAGAGGAGGACTCAAGGTACCAAATATGAAATTGTATTATGATGCTGTAGTATTAACATTGATCAGCGACTGGGTGAATTTAACAAATATAGAAATACTTCATTTGGAAGGTTGGGACTTACTTTTTGGATGGCATGCCTATTTAATATTTAATAAAAAAGTGGATTGGGTTTTTAAGTCTCATATTATAAGAATCTCTTTGCTTAGAGTGTGGAGAAAGTATTATAAAAGTGACTTCAAAATACCATTATGGGCTATACCTCGGCATGCCATAGAAGGCATAAGGAAAGGGGTTAATATGGATATGGTCTCTTATGCACAGTTACTTAGATGGGATGGCCAAGATTGGCAGTTAAAATCTTTGGAAGAATTAACGCATGAAAATTTAACTTATTCATGGTTCCAATACAGACAAATAGTGGATAGATGGAAGATGGATTGTAAAATGGGCTGGCTTAGAGAAGATGAAGCTCTTTTAAAACAAGTAAGAGATCAAAGGCCAACCCATATTAAGAGAGTTTATGGGGTTTTAGTGGAATTGGACTCAGAACCTGAATTAGTTAAAGATTGTATGATTAAATGGGCACAGAATATTGGTGAAACGATTTCAATGGATACCTGGGAACTTATTTGGATAAGAAATGTTAAATTCACACAAGCGCAAAATTTAAGAGAGAATTTTTATAAGATGTTTTATAGATGGCACCTTGATCCAAAGAAAATGTCTATTATGTACCCTAATCTGCAGCCGAAATGCTGGAGATGTGGACATTTGGATGCTACTTATTATCATACTTGGTGGACGTGTAAGCATATAAAAGCTTTTTGGATTAAGATATGGTGGAATATCCAAAGAATTTTTAAACGGAGGGTAAAATTTACTCCGCAATTATTTTTGCTAGGTATTGTTACTGATTGTGATGCTAAGGAGGTTATATTGATGTTAAATTTGATTACAGCCGCTAGGCTGTTAATAGGGCAATATTGGAAGAAGGAATCCTTGCCTACTTTGCAAGAGTGGTTTCACAAAGTTTCGTATCTGGCAGAAATGGCAAAGATTTCGGCTTTTTTAAAGGAGCAATCTCAAGAGAAATTTTTTGCAGTATGGGAAAAATGGATAAATTTCATACAATATAATTTGGATATGGAAAAATACCATTTAGCTTTTTTATAACTTGTAATGATTGTTTTTTCCTTCTTTCTTTCTTCTTTTTTTTCTTTACGTATTATTACTTATATATATTTTTTTTATATATATGTTTTATTTTTCGTCTACTTTTTTCTTTTTTCTTTCTCTCTTTTCTTTTCCCTTTTTTTTCTTTTTTTTTCTTTCTTTTTTAGTATATATTATTCATTTTAAAGCTTATGTTATGCATATTGTTATTATATATATCATTATATATATTATTATTATGACCTTTATTATTTTTATTAATTATCTTATAAATTGTAAACGTTATTTTTTAAAATTTGTTAAATAATCCTATATTCAGTTCTGGGAAGTCGGGGGGGGGAGGGTGGGGTGGTTTGGGAGGGGGGGATGTTTATTTGTAAAATTTTTGAAAAATTTCAATAAAAAAAAAAATGCTGTTAGTGACTACTGGGGAAACAGAATGTATCAGAATATAACAACTGAAACGACTTACATGTTAGACTTGGATTTGGAAGATCTAGATCAGACATGTCAAACACAAGGCTCGGGGGCTGGATGCGGCCCGCAAAGTGGTTTCATGTGGCCCGCGAAGCCATCCTGGAAACAGTGAGGGAATGGCCCCCTCTGCCTTGCCCTGGCCCAGGCCAGCCAGGAGCCAATGTGCAATTTTGTGGTGGCCATCTATGCTGAAACGCATTCAGTCTTAGCTCCGTAAGCCCCCCCCCCAGCATGGCTTGAGAGGAACAGTGAGGCTCCTCCAATGGCCCATGCCTTGGCACTTGCCCTGGTCCCACCCCCTTTTGCCAGAGACCCTCAGATCTGTCCCACTCCTGCCCAGGCCCCCACAGGCGCCCTTGAGGCAAACGGTGTAGAGATGGCCACACTCACCCAGTAGGCCACACCTACTCCATCCACGTCCACCCAGTAGGCCACACCCACCCGGCCCCCTGAGGGCAACCGCAATGCTGATGCGGCCCTCAATGAAATTGAGTTTGACACCCCTGATCTAGATTCAAATCCCAGTGCAGCCTCAAGACTCATTGAGTACCCTTTGGCTGCTTGCAGACTCAACAGCCTAACCAAGTGCAAACTTAGCATGGAGATAAAATTATAAAACTCTTAAGCACTTTGAACAGAATACAAATACGGAACACATTTACACATGTTTTACAAGTAATGTAATGGCCGTATGGAAATATAAGCAATTTTTAAATAACCAAAGGAACATACTGTACGACAAATACAAGACCAGAAGCCCGAAGAATGAATAATTGCTGCTTTGCAATTATGGTTTTTGAAAAGATGTCTCTTAAACTGCAAAGCAAATTGCTTTTATTTATATGGGAGGCAAGACGCCAGTAGACACAAGTGTGTACATCAGGGAGTGAGGCAAGGGAATGATCAAAGAAAACGTTCTCATGAAATTAAAGCAAATTACATTGCTATAAAGGTAAGTTGAGAACAGTTTAAAGCATAACTGCAAGAACTTAGATTTAATATTTATAAAACCTAATTAGCTGTAACAAAACAACAGGTAGATTCCCTCCCCCTCAATTTATCATTATGTAAGTAAGATTTTCCAGGTTTTAAATTGCACCAAAAGCCAACTTAATTATAGAAGACTCCCTGTTCAGTCCCCCAAACAGGTAAAAGTGAAGCACTGAAGATGGGGATGGAAGGGCAGTAAAATCTATGTTCACTTTCACATTGTTTAACAGTGATTGTATTTGGGAAGAGAGAATGCCCAACAGAGCTCCTCTTGATTATAACTTCTCACTAAAATTAGTGAATGGGGGCTCACTTATTTTGGCTGTCTTCCATTGCACAGTAAATGGTAGTGCTATTTGCTACAAGTAGATAATTCCTGCTTATAGAAAACTACCAGAAAGTAATTAGACATACATGGGTAACTTTTACACATGGTGCTTTTCAGCTTTTTTTATTTAAAAAAATACAGTTGTCCTGCAAAAACCAAGCCAGATAGGAGAAGATGAAATAGGAGAAGATTGAATTGCACTACAGAGGGCTTGTTTTTAGCAAAACAACAACAATATAAGAAGAAGTGGGTTTGGATAGGGTATTTTAGGAATAAATGACTTGCAGGCAGTTTAGGATAGTATATGTACAGTATAGCAACAGAAAGAGAATGGTTTAGAAGGGAGGTTGGCATCCACAGCGAAACTTATCCAGATTCAGCCACTTCAAATATAAGATAATGGTTCCCCTTGCCCCTAACCTTTTGAATTCCCATACACAAAAAACAACAAGTATTCTAGAAAATAAGCAACGTTAGGTCTGTGTTTTATGTTACAGAGCTTCCTATATGGAAATACTGGTTTTGTAAAAAAAGATAATACAGTTTTGTGGATCTTTCCTTCTTAAAAAATGAAAAGAAAACCCTGTGGTTATCTAGACGTAGGATTAACAGTAACATCTAAGTAATCTTAGCTAACTGTGTAATTAGAAGTATTCTCTTTCCATAGCAGACCTCTGATTCTCGACTCTTTTTACTCCCTGTTCTCTGCAGGCTACATCCAGAAGATTAAATCTGGGGAGGAAGATTTTGAGTCCTTAGCATCCCAGTTCAGTGACTGCAGCTCAGCCAAGGCAGGGGGAGACCTGGGTACTTTTGGAAGAGGTGAGTAGGTCGATGTTACTGAATATGTTATGTGCCTTGTTCAAACTGAAAGAAAAGGATCTTTGAGAAATGGAGTCTATCATGCGTCTTGGATTCTGCTTTGGGTCAAAATAATGGCAGCATTTAATAAAAAGTATTCTGAGCCATAATAGGTGAGGATGCTGCATTGTTTGCATGTATGTTTGCATTGCTTGCGTGCATCATTGCATATGATAAATCTGGCTGAGGAATTCTGGGAGTTGAAGTCCACAAGTCATAAAAGGACCAAGTTTGAAGACCCCTGAGATAAACCTTTCTGCCTGCTCTTGTCAGCCCAGCCGAATCATTATCTCCCTCCAGTTCCTACTATGTATTTATATTGATGGATACTTTCCTTTTAAGCAATTTATCACGTAAAGGCTGTTTTTTTCCCATTAGGTTAGTTTTCCTAGCCTTGGGCATAGCATAATGCACCTTGAAACACTATGGATAATCTGTCTTTGCCCTCAGGTATGCTACCTAGGAAATTACACCCATTTCTGAGCCATTGTCTTAAAAATCCTGAAATCAGATATCCTTTAGGCTTGAAAAAAAAGTTTATAGAAAAATAGTAAAAGATTTCATCTATCAATCAGTCTCCTAATCATGGGATATATCTGCTTGTTTTAAAAATATACAGTGCCAATAGAAAAGGCCTAGCAATGTTTCTCTTGCTTTGTCTCTCCTGACTTTCATGAGATAGTATTTCTTTTTGCTTGAAAATAAAAGATGCTGAAGCTCAGTGACAGCGAACGAGAGTTGCTTTTAGCAGGTGTTGGGAAGGGCCTTTCCATGCCTGTGATCTGGAAAGTTCTAGAATAGAGATACATACGAAGCAGATTCATATATTGAGATGTCGACTTGTTTACCAAGATCACTGGAATTCTGCTACTAAACTGCTGCTAATTCATTGCACTAGCAGATATTAATTTTGTATCATCTATTCTGCCTGTTTTCTTCATTTGAGAAGGAATAACACTGTATCTCATGTGCTGAAGTTCTCCCATTTTGCCAGACTTGATCTGGCTGTAAACTTCTGAATTTCACTAGCTGCTGCTTGTATGATTCTTGTTTTAAAAACTAGAAATCTCCTTTTCTTTGAAACTGGAAATTTCAAGAAGCTGAGTATAGAACATGATGTCACCAGTTTGTAGACAAGGTAGTATGGGATGATACATTGCCTACGCATACCTTCCAGTAGAAATAAATAGGAGAACTCTGAATGAGTGGGCTGCTGTGGCAAGTGCAGAATCAAGGAGCTGTTGAAAGGAAACAATTCATTCTTTGATAGGGCATCTTTATCATTAGACTCATTAAGTTTGTATCTTGAATATTTGCTACAAAAATAAAATTCTTTAGAAGAGCTTGAGAATCAAACCATATAGGTTTTCATGTAGAACAAGGGGAAGCAGTTGTTTGAGCTGGGACTCTGAATTGTGAGAACTTGCATTGGGCTTGCTCACAAAATATCTGGTATGAGGCATTGTTCCCCTTAATGGCTGATCATTCTTTTGTGCAACTTCTTGAACCTGAATTCAAACATATATGCTGTTAGGAGAGTATACGCTAATGAGCACAATGCAGATAATATATAAACTGTTTAAAATTTGTAATGAAAATAATTAACTATATGTATAAATAAAGTATATTAGTTGTATTGTAATCTGCTAATTTAGTTGGCCTGAGTCCCTGGCTCTAGTGGATCAGAAATTGCAGAGAGAAAAATATGTGCCTTATAGTTTCTCTCTGCAATTGGCATCTCTCGATGCAGAGTATAAGCTCTGTCCAGGTTTGCTACCAACTTAACCCAATCATCATGTCAAAGTGAGCTACTTGAAAATAATGGCATAATTTAGTGTTAGAGTTTAACTAATTTAATTAATTATGATTAAATCATAGTCTGCACCAGATGCTAGAAATATCCTCCAACCAATATCCATCAAATTGTCAGAGCCTGAAATTGTTTTTTCTCATATATAAAGGTCAATGTACCTGGATGCCTTGACCAATACAAAACTGAAATCGTTATACTGATTGACCTTAACAGTATTTCCAGAAAGAAAAGCTTTGTATTTTGAATATAGGCATCTATGTATTTCATGTGCTTTTGTGCTGTTTATATCATCTGACTCTGTGTCAGCTGTTCCACCTTGGTTAATTAAGAAAAAAAGACTCTCGAACTCATGGTTAGTGAAAGTACAATTAAAGCCAAGTGGTTATAGTGTAGTAAACCCGAATCTGGATTTTCACGCCCAAAGCATCTGGTTAACTTTTCTCCTGTCTTCCCATCCCCTCATGGCTATTAGTTAGTGCCCAATAGTATTCAAATAAATAGTTTTGGTAGTCCCTGGCTGTGTGAGCTGGATGCTGCTGCTTTCCATTGGGTGACCTTGGTTTATAGCAGCATTCAACACATAACATTAGAGAAATCAGCAGTTATGTTTGTGGGTGTCATATTACAGTAAAAAAAAAACATAGCATCTTATATTTTTAAAACAAGCAGATATGTTCCAACTCAGGAGACTGACTTGATAGACGAAGCTTTAAGCAATCCACCAAAACGTATCCATTTTTTCCATATAAATTCTGTAAAAGCATTAGCATCTCAATACATGTATAGCATTCGGTAACCCTCATTACATGTGAATATTCCACACAGTTGAGCGTGTTATGGGATTTTGATATGGTAGAGGTTATGGTGGCTTGCAGAGGACCTGAAGAAGGCCTTATTGATATTACGAGCAATTTTATGGCAGGGTTTGAGCCTCTAATAATATATTTGTATGAGCCTCTAATAATATATTTGTATGAGCCTCTAATAATATATTTGTATATATTATTAATGAGCCTCTAATAATATATTTGTATATATTCCAAGGATGATGAGAAGCATTTGGAACACATGTGGTCTTCAAGTGGTCCCAAAATAGAGGTTCCAAATAGAATCCATCAGTAGCGGCAGAATAAATTTAAAGAAAAATATTTAATAATACTCTCATAAGACTCTTTTTTTAAAAGAAATTTTAAAGAAACAAGTATGTAAATTCATATCGCTATATAGAACATGAATTTGCAAGACAAGTGAAATAATTAGCATAGCTACTGTTTATCATCTAAGACCTGAGTTCCTTCTTAAAATAATATGCCTTGTCCCTCATAGTTAGCGTTTATGCGTAACTGGAAGGGGGAAAAAAATGAAGTTGCTAACTTTGGTCAGAAACTTTATTTTCCTGGGAATAAGTTCTTGGTTTGCATGAAGACACTATTATTGCCCTTTATCTTCACAAGTTCTGCCTTATTGTTCAGAGGCAGCAATTCCTTCCTGAGTCAAATATTTCTCGGAAGAAAAGATGATTGCATTTTGGATTGCAAAGTAATGAAAAAGCTATTCGTCATTGGCTGCCAGTGACTGGTAGTTGGGTCTCATTTGGAAACTGTCACTTCAGCAATGGTCTTGGGTGACTTACTGAAGAAGAGAATTTCGATGAGACAGGTCCAACGATGCAGTAGCAATGGTACTGCTGGAATTTTGTTGTCCACTAGATGGAACTAGGAGCACAAGCAGGTCTTCTGTGATACCACTTTCTATCTTCTTGTACTCATTTGATGGGATTACTAACCACAATTTGCTTCCATTATGAATCCTGGATATGTTTAGAAATGTGAAAAATGAAAAAGCATTCTCATTTAGTCTTTTAAACAAATCAAGAGCAATTGAGTTTTCCTGTTTTATTAAATTCTGGCTGAGGGATCTGAGAGGGTTTCCCCCCCCTCCCCCCGATTCAGGAATTAAGAACTTTTGGGTTGAGAAGAAATCCAAATCAACATTTATTTAAAGGTTATAAATTATCATGTCCTACACAGCTGCATGGAGAAATCCAATTATTTAAGGCAAAGTAGCATATCTTATTATAGTTGTTAATTAGTATCCACATTTCTTTTGGAAATATGTGCATTTTAAAAAATTGAATACTTAATTGCAAATAATTATAAACTCAGTTATGAAATGAGAAACAATTTAAGTAATTTACTTGAATGGTTTAATTATGCTTGCTTTTTTGTTGTGGTGGTGATTCAATTTAAGGCATCCTGTATTTTTAAACCAGTCTTGCTATTTTTTTCTTTTCAAAAAAGAAACCTTATAGCAGTGAATTACGTTGTTGTGGTCAGACCATTCATACTGTTATTGTGCAAGAATGATCAAAACTAGGATTGCAATGGTAGCATGTAGAGCAGGGGTGTCAAACTTGCAACGTGTCCCGATGTATCTCGACTTTTTTTCCATCGCTGGCAAAGGGGTGGGTGCGGTTTCGCCATGATGCATCCAGCTGGCAGGCTGGCAGTTTGACACCCCTGATGTAGAGCATTGAACAGACATGTGTGTGCATGCATTTGCACCCATATGCACAAGCTTTGATGCCTTGGTTAAAAAAGAGATCCCATTTTTGGACCTTGTTCATTTTCAAGCTCAGTTCAAAAGAGAAATATTTTACTTGTGTGATTTCCGCCCCCCCCCCCATTCTGTTGCCAGTAAGATGACAACTTTAAATCTCTCCCTTTCCCCTTCTAGTTATTTTATGAGCTAAAACTTTGGGGGAAATAATAGGCTGAAGCCATTATGGTTAGTCCTGGAAGAAGTTTAGAGTCATAATTATAAAAAAGTTGCAGATGGATTGAAAGCCACAAGTAAATAATAAATTCTTCTAATCTCTCAGACATACAAGTCACCAGGAATTGCATGCACAATGCAAAGAACATCTCTTCTTTTTCTTTCTGTCCTTGGATCTGATACTCAAGTCTTTTTTTTTTTTTTATTAAAAAGTTTTATAAATTTTACAGAAAATAAAAGACAATACAAAAACAAAAAACAACATATACAAATAAAAACAAACATTACCCAACAAAACCCCCCTTCCCCCACCCCTACCCAAACCCCCCCTTCCCCCCCCAGGGCCTCCCAGAGCAGAATATAGGCTTAATTA